TCTTTATAAGCTTTGATACCTTGTTGAAGGATAGGAAAATTGAAGTTATTAGAGAATACACAAATTTATTCATTGATGATGGTCTCTGCAAACACAACACAATGATTTAGCAGTGGACTATTTACCGAATCTTAACTTGTTGTGTTTGAGTGTGTTGTTGTAGTTTGAGCAGAAAACTTCTGCAGATGAATGCTACATGAATCAAAACAAAGGTGCCACAAAAGAGGAGGCATTTGCAAAACTTCAAGAACTAGTTACGGATGCATGGAAAGATATAAATGAAGAATGCCTTCATCCAACCGCAGTGCCAGCGCCAAAAACTCTTCTCCTGCAAATAATCGAAAATTATGCACGTGTCGCACATCTTGTGTACAAATACATAGATAATTTTACGAAGTCTGACAACTTAAAAGATGTCATAATTTGTCTACTGGTTCAACCTGTGACAACACCATGATAAATCAAGTAATTAGTGGTTGTAATAATCGTAAAATAAGGAGGGTCTTTAACCGAATCTACTTGTAACTCCATCTGTATCATAAATATGCAAGTTATCATATCCATATAGTTCGTACCAAATATGTCACTAATGATGAAATATATTTCCTTTCTTTTGTGAGAACGTGTTCTGATAGCCCATTACATTCTTATGACTTGGCAAGATATTCACAAGGAAAATGACTCGAGAGAACTCATAAGTGTTAAATTTACACTTATTTAAGTTACCAAAAGTGACTTTTGTTAGTATTATTTTGAATTTGTATCAAGTTCAGTGGAAATCACAGATGGAACCCTCCAGCTGTCAGGCGCCCATTTGTTCAAGAATATTGTTAGTTAGTTGCCAACTGTAATTCCTGCCTATTTTCCCCCCCTTATTTGGTCTGATATTTATACCATGTAAATACCTCATTTTTCATCAAATGAATTAGAGATTTCATTCTCCAATATTCTCTCTATTTCATAACCTGGTATCAGAGCATATTCTTCATCTTCTTCGTCAATGAGTACTGATTATCCATGGCGGATTTTTCTGTTCAAAATCAACCTATTCAAAATTCATCTTCATCAATGAGTCAATCAGCCGTTGATGATGTCTCTAGTGCTTATTATCTCCATCACTTAGACAGTCCAGGTCTGGTTTTGGTTTCTCAGCCTTTGACTGGTGAAAACTACTCTTCATGGAGTCGTGCTATGACTATAGCACCCTCGGTGAAAAATAAACTCGGTTTTATTAATGGATCTGTCATTAAACCTGAAGAAAATGCAGATCTTCTGAACTCTTAGGTTTGAAATAACAACATTGTTATTTCGTGGATCCTTAATTCTGTTTCGAAGGAGATCTCAACGAGCATTATATATTCAGAATCTACTCAAGAGATTTGGCTTGATCTAAAGGAGCGATTCCAACAGAGAAACGGTCCTCGAATCTTCCAATTGAGAAGATATTTAATGAATCGTATGCAAGGTCAGTTGTATGTTAATGCCTATTTCACTAAGTTGAAATGGGAAGAGCATAGCAATTATCGCCCTACATGTTCTTGTGGAAAATGTGATTGTGGGGGAAATAAGAAATTGGCTGAACACTATCACATGGAGTATGTGATGTCTTTTTTGATGGGTTTTAAATGATTAGAATGCTCAAGTTAGAGGACAATTATTGCTCATGGATCCTATGCCACCAATCAACAAAGTATTTTAACTTATAATTCAAGAAGTGCATCAAAGATCTGTAAGTGTCACTACCGGAGTTGGTGATTCTATGGCTTTTTTCGCTAAAAATGATGTTAAAAGGACACACATGGGGCAAAACTACGGTAGAAATGAAATGATCTAAAGGAGCGATTCCAACAGAGAAATGAAATGCAAAAAATTCGTGTTTGTCTCGTCTAACTTCTTTGCCGATAACAGGTACACCGTACCATAGTCCGTATACTTGGTTCTTCTACAATCAGTAAATTTGTTGTCTACTTGTCTTGTGCATTGATTTGAAATGAGAAATTAGTTGTATCATTATCATAAATTTGAAATGAGATTGTATCATATGAGTTGAACTTCAATGTTGGGTCCGTCCCTGGTGTGAGGTGGTTCCTGAGTCATAAACCGTGTAACGTGACCTAAGAGGCTTGGATACCTGGACAATGCCAAATGAAAACAGAAAAATCTAACCTCATCCATAAAAATTCATGATCAAAAGACAAGAGAATCTACTAGCTCAAATGAAAAATAAAGCTGGCAATTAAGAGTATCAAAACAATTTTCCAGCAGAGAGAAAAATTCCAAATGGGGCTAGTGGAACAAAGAATCCAATGCTGAAAATGGCAAGAGACAAAATGACTGACTTGTTTCTTTCTTCATTCTCGTTCTTTAGTTTGTACCTACACGTGAAATAAAGCTAATCACTAGGACCACATGTCTCTCTACACTCATTGAGCCAATTTGGATTTCTTCACTCTGTAATTCTGCATATCAAAAAAAAAAAAGAGTGCATGCCTTAGCAAAGTTTTATATTTTTAGGATCTAATTTCCCTATATGTAGTTCACGTTGAACTAAGCTCAAGAGACATTTATGTCCTGACTGACCCAAGTATGACACCCCCCACCCCAAGAGAGGAATTTTTCATCAGAGAGAAACTGATATCAAAGTTAATGTGTGTACAATGAGGTTAAGAACATGCAGAACTTTCAAAAGTACACAAGCCATATTTGAGTGAGTTACGAAATGTTTCTCTCATCATAGGTGCAAAGATTCTACAGTTGCTGATATAATAATTGTTTGCACCAACGTTTATCTCTCATCATAGTCTGCAAATCAGCATTCTTTCCCTAGAAGATTAAGAAAGCTGTGTACCTTAACACAAAATCCATCAAGATAATTTATCCTAATTGTTTTCATATTTACTAAGGTTATTTTTGAAATAAGTAACTTTTTTACTTAAAAGTAAAAGAAAAACAATTTATCCTAATATGTTGTAAACAAGAAGAAAATTTCAAAATCAATGACTTTTTTTTTCATTGTTCAATAGTTTTTTTTTTTATAAATATATATATCGTTTAGTACCAAACGTTGAATAAGATAATATACCATAATTTTCTTAATCCTATCCCATATTATCCTTTTGATATCATGTAATATATAGGTTCTACAAAAGTTACCCTAAAAGGGTGAAACTGAAAGTCTAATCAAAATCTGAAGTCACGCTCTTTTAGTCAAACAAAACACTTTCAAAAAATTATTTAAACATGTTAAGAAGCAATTTTTGGCTATTTAAAAGCACCGACAAACGGGTCCTTATTCTTCTAAAAACTCAATATATCTACAACTTCAATAATTGTGTTTGTAAAATGTGTATTTGAATATAATATTAATATGCAATCCATCAACTCGTGGTACATTATTTTGTTAGTATGGGACCGGAAGTGCGGTTATATATAGACATCAACCTAACTTACAATTTCAAATAACTAAAAACTATTCATTTCCTGTCCAAATATAGAATGGATATTCATGCATCGGTCGATCTTTTCTCCACCAAAAGTGTGGGCATTGAGAATGTTCGTCGCTCTGTCACATATCATCCTACAATTTGGGGAGACTATTTTCTTGATTACGATTCTCACCTCACTGTATGATAATTACACTCTTTTTTCCATTTTTTTAATATCGATTTCTTGTTTGAAATTTCATTTTATGCTATATGATTTTCATTTTAATGTGTGACATATGCTTATGCTTATAACTTGAATAGGATATTTTGCCCCATGAAGAGCAAGAACATCAAAGCTTAAAAGAAGAAGTGAAGAAGTTGCTAGCGGATGCTCCAGATGATTCTTTGCACAAATTAGACCTCATCGAGGCAATCCAACGTCTTGGAGTTGGTTACCATTTTGTAACAAAAATTGAAAATTCTTTAAAATGCGTATACAACACTTACAATAAAAATTGTGGTAAACAAGACACTAATCTTCATAGCATTGCTCTTCAATTTCGATTACTTAGACAACAAGGATATTATGTCTCATGTGGTAAGAAAAATCACTTGAGCAATTTATCGTGCGCTTTAACTTGCACATCTTTTTATGGGACCAATTAACATTTTTTGGGTTGAAACAGACGTGTTCAACAAATTCAAGGACCACAAAGGAAATTTTGATGAATCTTTGATTAGCAATGTACAAGGCTTGTTAAGTTTGTATGAGGCCGCACAACTTAGAGTACATGGAGAGGAAACTTTAGAGGAAGCACTGGAGTTTTCAACCACTCAACTCAATTCCCTACTCCTCCATGTGGGTAATTCTCGGTCCACACGAATTAAGGAAGCTTTGGAGATACCAATTCGTAAAACTGTGACTAGACAGGGAGCAAGAAAATTCATATCTATTTACCAAGAAGATGAATCACACAATGAAATACTCCTTAATTTCGCGAAACTAGACTTCAACTTATTGCAGAAGTCGCATCAGAGAGAGCTAAGCGAAGTTACAAGGTTAGCATGTCTTGCGAAACATTATTAGTTGGGTCGAACATACCTTTTTCTCTTGATTTCAGCTAATGGTCTTGACAGTTTGATATCGAATATAATTACTGGAAAAATTGTTAAGAATTTACCTCTGGATATAATTGTACGTAGGTGGTGGAAGGCGTTAGACGTTGAAAATAAACTGCCTTTTGCAAGAGATAGATTGGTCGAATGCTACTTTTGGACATTGGCAATATACTTTGAGCCCCAGTACTCAATTGGTAGGAAAATGCTAACTAAAGTAATCGTTATGATTTCTATCATTGATGACATCTTCGATGTTTATGGGACCCTAGACGAACTTACACTTTTTGTGGATGCAATTGAAAGGTAAATCATTACAGTGCTCTTTTCACCTTAATGTCTCATAGCATATGCATATTTATCTATTGGATATCTTCATGTGTAGATGGGATTCTAGTGTCATAGATCAGCTACCAACGTACATGCAACATTGCTACAAAGCTCTTTTAGATGTTTATGTCGAAATTGAGGAAGAGCTGGGCAAGATAGAAAAGTCTTGCCTTGTTCACTACGTGATAGAAGAGGTAATCAATTTATTACTAACTAAACTCATTGTTTTTGCTATATGACAAAAGTAATGTAAGCTTAATGATCACGTGTTCCAATTTGTAGACGAAAAGACTGATGAGAACATATTTTCAAGAGGCAAAATGGGTGTACAGTGGTTATATTCCAACACTGGAAGAGTATTTAAAAGTGGGAAAACTATCTAGCGTTTGCTTATTGTTATCTGCAGCTGCTTTGGCAGGCATTGGAGAGTTAGTGAGCAAGGAAGCCTTTGAGTGGTTTGCAAGCGATCCATTAATCCTACAGGGTTCGGAAATTATCGGTAGATTAATGAACGACATGGTTGGATTCGGGGTAAGAAGTTCTATTTTTTAATGTTGATACGTGACATCTACGTATATTTGAGTGAATTGTGTGTGGAAGAGCATGGTTATCGAACTATGTAAAGTTGATAAGAGAGTATCGCATTTATGAGCTATCGAATTCTATTTTTTCATCAAAGGTGAAATGTGTATAATTTGTTGAAAATAGAAATCCTAATTATATAACTCCAAAAGTAATTAAATTGTAGAAAGAAAAATAGACGCTTAGGATTTTTAGAGATTTTCCTCAATGTGAAATTATATCACCTTCCGTCGCTACAGTAATTAAATAGTGAAAAGGAGTTAACAAAAGAAAATCATAAACATATCTTCTGTAGCTTCTATCTCCTTCTCTTTTTCTTTTTCAATGGTAATCCAAAAAAAACCCTAATAATGACATCTATTTATATGACAAATTAGTACAAAACTAAAATTACAAGTGTTAAATTTTTAAACTATTCTTATTGAAATTTTCGGTTTAGGGTTTAGACTCCACCTCCAGCACCCCCAGAAGGGGGGCTTTCTGCTCCTTCCAACCCCTCGACAACCTCACTGTAGAGGTCGATTTCGCATACTGGCTTTACACAGAGACAATAAAACGTAATATAATTTTCTTAAAACCTTTATAATATGATATCTTGTTAAACGATATTAAAATTGAAATTATTAGAGAAGAACAAATCTATTCATTGATGATGGTCTCTGCAAACATGACATATTGATTTAGCAGTGGACCAAATATTGAATCTTAACTTGTTGTGTTTGAGTGTGTTGCAGTCTGAGCATAAAATAACTGCAGTTGAATGCTACATGAATCAAAACAAAGGTGCCTCAAAAGAGGAGGCATTTGCAGAACTTCAAGAACTAGTTACGAATGCATGGAAAGATATAAATGAAGAATGCCTTCATACAACCGCGGTGCCAGCCCCGACAACCCTTCTCCTGGAAATAAGTGTCAACCATGCGCGTATCGAACATCTTGTGTACAGAGACATAGATGATTATACAAAGTCTGAAGTCAAGTTAAAAGATATCATAACATGTATACTAGTTCTACCTGTGTGACAATATCGTGATCAATCAAGTGATTAATGGTTGTAATAATTGCAAAATACTGAGGGCATGGGTCTTTACCCAAATCTACTTGTAGCTTCCATCCGTTTTATAAATTTGCAATTTATCTTATCTATACAGTTTGTCACAAATATGTCGCTAGCGATGAAATTTCCTTCTTTCTTTTGTGAGAACGTGTTTGGATAACCCAATGTGAACTCAGGTTGTTCACACTTTGAAGAGTCTAAATCAGCAGTAAATGCCTACAGAACTGGATTCCTTCAAATGGCACCAGTTTCTCTGTGGCAAATTCTCCATTCAAACTTTCAAGAACATGAAATACTCCATGTTCTGTTCCTTTCAAATTTCTGAATCCAAAAAGTAGGTAGGTATCATAAACTGGCATTTTTTCAGAGTATTAAAAGCCATACTGTTTTTGCTGCAGAAGATAAAATTACCCCATACCAGGCCAGGTGCTGCTTAGATGGACTAAAGGAACACAAATGTTGGCACTTTTCTAAAATCCAAGAAAGAAACATTTTACTTGCAATGGATAGGATAACAAAGAGGTATAATCTGACTTCAACTGGATGTTCAAGATTGCCACATCATCAATAATGGATAGGTAGCCTGACGGGGGATTTCATTTTTGAAGTTGATAAAGTCACCGCTACTCCGTTTTCGAGAATGCATGATAACACTAAGCACACTAGTGCCCTATAGAGGTAAACGAGTACTCGTATATCAAAATCTACAAGTGTAAAGTTTTGAGTTTGAAAGATGTTTGCAAGAGATTAATGTAGAGGTGTTGTAAAGGTTCTGCCTTAAAAATATTTAGGGTTGTTCATCGGTGGCCACCACTCCGCATGAGATGAGTGTAACGACANTCTCAATATGAAATTATGTGACCTTCTGTTACTACAGGAATTAATTAGTGAAAAGAAGTTTACAAGAGAAAATCATATACATATCTTCTATAATTTCTTAAAACCTTTATAATTTGATATCTGGTTGAACGATAGGAAAATTGAAATTATTAGAGAATACACAAATCTATTCATCGAAGATGGTCCCTGCAAACATAACATATTGATTTAGCAGTGGACTAATTACTGAATTTTAATTTGTTGTGTTTGAGTGTGTTCTTGCAGTTTGAGCAGAAAATAACTGCAGTTGAATGCTTCATGAATTAAAACAAAGGTGCTTCAAAAGAGGAGGCATTTGCAGAACTTCAAGAACTAGTTACGAATGCGTGTAAAGATATAAATGAAGAATGCCTTCATACAACCGCGGTGCCAGCCCCGACAACCCTTCTCCTGGAAATAAGTGTCAACCATGCGCGTATCGAACATCTTGTGTACAGAGACATAGATGATTATACAAAGTCTGAAGTCAAGTTAAAAGATATCATAACATGTATACTAGTTCTACCTGTGTGACAATATCGTGATCAATCAAGTGATTAATGGTTGTAATAATTGCAAAATACTGAGGGCATGGGTCCCTACCCAAATCTACTTGTAGCTTCCATCCGTTTTATAAATTTGCAATTTATCTTATCTATACAGTTTGTCACAAATATGTCGCTAGCGATGAAATTTCCTTCTTTCTTTTGTGAGAACGTGTTTGGATAACCCAATGTGAACTCAGGTTGTTCACACTTTGAAGAGTCTAAATCAGCAGTAAATGCCTACAGAACTGGATTCCTTCAAATGGCACCAGTTTCTCTGTGGCAAATTCTCCATTCAAACTTTCAAGAACATGAAATACTCCATGTTCTGCTCCTTTCAAATTTCTGAATCCAAAAAGTAGGTAGGTATCATAAACTGGCATTTTTTCAGAGTATTAAAAGCCATACTGTTTTTGCTGCAGAAGATAAAATTACCCCATACCAGGCCAGGTGCTGCTTAGATGGACTAAAGGAACACAAATGTTGGCACTTTTCTAAAATCCAAGAAAGAAACATTTTACTTGCAATGGATAGGATAACAAAGAGGTATAATCTGACTTCAACTGGATGTTCAAGATTGCCACATCATCAATAATGGATAGGTAGCCTGACGGGGGATTTCATTTTTGAAGTTGATAAAGTCACCGCTACTCCGTTTTCGAGAATGCATGATAACACTAAGCACACTAGTGCCCTATAGAGGTAAACGAGTACTCGTATATCAAAATCTACAAGTGTAAAGTTTTGAGTTTGAAAGATGTTTGCAAGAGATTAATGTAGAGGTGTTGTAAAGGTTCTGCCTTAAAAATATTTAGGGTTGTTCATCGGTGGCCACCACTCCGCATGAGATGAGTGTAACGACAAAAAAAATTCTGGTCTTTGGGACCTTGCGGGGCCAAATAACACAGCCTGCAATACTGTGGGCATGTTGATTGTGCCAGCCATAGAAACTTCTACATGTAGGGCTTGACCCAACGCACATTAAAAAATGTGCAGGAAGGTCCTTGGCAGGAAAGGCACGATCCCCGTTACGTCCATAATCTTGTGTGAGGTGGCTCCTGAGTCATAAATTATGTCACGTGACCTAAGAGGCTTGGATACCTGGACAATGCCAAATGAAAATAGAAAAATCTAAACTTATCTATAAAAATTCATGATCCAAAGACAAGAGGATCTACTAGCTCAAATGAAAAAGCTGGCAATAAAGAGTATCAAAACAATTTTTCCAGCAGAGAAAAATATTCCAAATGGGGCTAGTGGAAGAAAGAAACCAATGCTGAAAAGGGCATGAGACAAAATGACTAACTTGTTTCTTTCTTCATTCTCGTTCTTTAGTTTGTACCTACACATGTGAAATAAAGAAAATCACTAGGACCACAAGCCTCTCTACACAATTTGGATTTCTTCACTAATCTGTAATTCTGCATATTAAAAAAAAGAGAAGAAGAAGAAGAGTGCATGCCTTGGCATAGTTTTATATTTTTTAGGATCTAATTTCCCTGCCTATATGTAGTTCACATTGAACTAAGCTCAAGAGACATTTATGTCCTGACTGACCTAAGTATGACACCCCCCCCACCCCAAGATAAAGAAATAAATGGAGAAATTTTTCATCAGAGAGAAACTAATATCAAAGTTAATGCGTGTACAATAAGGTTAAGAACATGCAGAACTTTCAAAAGTACACAAGCCATATTTGAGTAAATTACGAAATTTTATCTCTCATCATAGGTGCAAAGATTCTATAGTTGCTGATATAATAATTGTTTGCATCAACGATTTAGTCTGAGAATCAGCTTTCTTTCCCTAGAAGATTAAGAAAGCTGTGTACCTTAACACAAAATCCATCAAGATAACAATTAACATTTTCCATATTTTGCCTTCAGGGTTTGCAAATCACCACGAAACAAGGAAGAAGAGCTCTAGGATTAAGCAAATAAAGCTCCTCAATATTTGAATAAAGGCCAACTTTACCCGCTAATGAATCAAACCCTGTCTGGCCAGCAATTTCTTGAATGTTCTCCAGAGGCCGATGCACCCTCCCTGCAATAACTCTGCTTACAATTAAAGCTTTTCTTACGGATATATCGTCTTTATGGATTTCTATAGATTCAAAAGCTCTTCCACTTGTAGAAGTTGTGAAAACTCCTATTCCACCTTTGAGTTCCTTTTTGGTCAAAAAGCCTTGTCGGATAATTCGACAAACACAGCATCTGTCGACTATGCAAAGACTGGAGGACCCATTCATGCCAAGAGAGCATGCTAGAGTAGTACCATAGAACCTTAAAAGTTCATTTCCATCGGCTAGGCACCGAGGGTGTTTCTTAGAAAGCTTACCGGCCTTTACTTTCACCATTTCTCTGTATTCCTCAAATCGAGCCAGCGTTTTCTGCATGTTGTGTACTTTCAATACCCTTTCAATTCTAACACAGTGGTTGTCAGATTTCAGCCAGCTTGATCGGCAGATTATCTCAACAATTTTCCTAGACGAGTCACCCTCCACAAGTTCAGTCACTGTTTAGAGAAGAGTAAGCAACTGAGAAGTTTATCCAATATTAAACAAATATAAACCCGATGAGCCAAACCAAACATCAGATATGAATTTCGATAAAGGTCAGAGTACTAGCTCAGTTTCCTTTCTTTTCCTTCACTTTGTTCATTTCAATTTGGTCGTGTACAATTTCAGGATTTACATTGTATGCATGCTTAATTAATACACAATATTGAACACAATTAGACAACAGTGACAAAGACTTTATCTTCATCTCTTCCTTAATACTATCTATTGCTATTAAATTCTCCCAACCAAAAATGCACCCAGTGATATCCTCCTACCAAACATTGCACATAGGAAATAAAGGCGCACAATATTTTTGCCATTTAATTAACCATTATGTACCATTATAGAGATGCAACAGAGGGACTTCTAAGGTATAAAGATGATTTTTTTTCTTAAAAAATGTGGGAGATTCTAGGAACAGGATTCAAACAAATAACAGGAAATAAATAGGGGGCAAACAGTGGGTTAGCAAAAAGTTACCCGAAGTACATGAGCTTTTTCCTTGCCAATTTAAATAATATGAAAACCATTGGAAAAACAAAGATTTCATGGTTCTAGACTTGCCAAATTTGTGTATTTCTTGGCCTCAAAAATGAAAAAACAATAATAACAATAATAATTGAGACATTGCCAAACCCAGAAAGACGCTTTTTACAAGAGATATGTAGTATAAATGTTAAAGAAGAAAATCCAATATATACAACAATGGTCCAGAAATTGATTAAAGTGGTTATAAAGTAAGAAACCAGGAAAAAAGAGGAATTCAACAGTTCTTTACCAGCATGCTTTGAAAGGTGATGTGATTCAAGAGCTTCCCACTTTCCAAATTGCTCTCCACATTTGTGGCATATAATAGAAGGCCCATTAGTGTCTTTGTCAAGGGATGCCTTTGGCTTTAAGGGAAACCCATTAGTCCCCCCAAAATTTGCAGAATTTCCATTCCCAATGCCCTCCAAAAGAGAGGTCTTTCTATGAGGAGTTGCAGAATTTTTGTATGAAGGA